CCCTCTTTTGAGAACCATCTATGCTATTTAAAGTCTTTGATAACATTTTCGGATCGGGAAAAAATATGAAAAAGGTCAGATACTTAATTCAAACTTAGATTCTTTGAAAGGATTTATGTAATAAGTTTAAAATGAGTCTAACATGAAATTCCAACAAAGTGGCAGGGAAGTCCACCATCAGTGCCGGGTAGCATTCACGACTCCACCATGGCAGGGATATTTACTCGCTGTGTCTCCCGAGGCCTTTTTAAGCCTTTCCAGACTCTGATTCAGCCGAGAGTAAGTTCATGCAGCCTTTTTGGAACAGTTTCTCACAGGATTATTTATTTTGGTGATGAATAAGGGAGGCAAAAGGCTGAAATATTGATAAAAGGTAGCTGGCTCCTCCCGGTTTGCCAGTCAGCTGATTTCGTGACAGGTAAAATCAAGACATTTTTTTTTGTTTCATGACGTTTTTTCATGTAATTGAGAAAGATTTAGCGTAGTGTACATATCGAACATTGGATTTCAAGGTTTAATATATCCCAGTGGCATTTGTCCTAGAAAGTGTCACCGTGACCTGACCTTTGGCTCACCGTGTTTAATAAGTGGGATAGTTGGTGCAGGTCCAGTTCCATCCAGCTTTCGTTCAGACGTAAGATAATATATGCAGACGAGGTACAGGTCCAGTTTCATATAGCCACCCTTTAGAAAATGATATATGCAAATTATAGAGCGAGTGATTCTAAGAAACATCTTCTGTGAACTTTAACTGCAACTCAAAAATTAATTCAATCTGTTATAAGTGTTTAATAATTGCATTGATGGTGGTGTTTCTCTGAGTTTGGTTAATTTGTGGGATATCTTAGTAGATTCGGAGAGAGAGAGAAGTGCTGCGGATGTTTTTCTGGTGTATTTATTTTGATCAGATATGGTCATTTATCATAGTTTTGTTCATGTGTCCTTATTTTGCTATTAAAGAATTAGAAGAAAGATTTGACTTCACTAACTACCTCAACTTCATCAGGTCCCTGTGAGACATCTGAACCTGCTGGAGTACCAGAGCAAAGTGCTGCTGGACAACCATGGGGTCACCGTGCAGAAGTTCCGCATCTTGGATACGCATGAGGCCGCTGGCGAGACTGTTAAAACACTGAGTAAGGACAAACTGAGCTTGTTTTTGATTGAATGGAGAAGTTTATTTAGGATGGGTCAAAAATAGTGTTGTTATTTGTATGTGTATATTTACTTCTTTATTAGATAATTCTGAAACCTAGGACTACATCTGTTGTAGTTGAAGTCTAATTGCCTTGGCCTCCAGGCCTTTCATAAGCTGGCAAAGGCCATGACAACAATTACATGAGTCATGGTAGAGGTTTCCTTTTCTTTGCGGCCTGTAACTTAGTTCTCTTCCCAAGATGTATGTCAACAGTAGCCTGTATTTTATAGAATGGAAAGAGGTGGAATGTATGATATTAGATATAGCTGGTAATTCTTTACAGTATGGACATACTCACCAAAGACTAACTCCCCACCTCCACATGTCACAAAACTTATTCATCAATCTAAGTTGCCATGACTGGGGAGGGTTGATGGGGGGCTCTGCCCCAACACCCCCTGGGAAACATTGTCTTCAACTTGTATGCACATCAAGATAGAGCTGAAACTCAGGAGCACCAGTATAGATGCACTAAGTTAAAGCAAATTAATATGATATTCTGTAGAGGACAAAGTTGCATTTGTCTGCTGATATGTGAACAGTAACACCACAAATTAAGGAAAAAGGATTGCGGAAAGTGCTGGTCTCAGCACTCTGTACTCCCAAGTTTCAGCTCTTATCTTGCCATGCATACTGAGATGAAGTGAATGTTTCTCTGGGATTCTCTGGCGAGTACATCCATACTGTAAGAATTACTCAAGATACATCTTCATCAAAACAAGATCAAACATTTTGCAAAGTTGGGTTGTAGTAGGTGGTTAATCAAGCACAGTAATTTGAATCTCATGATGATGTGTGAAAAACTCATCTTCCCATCTCCTGACAGATGCTGCCGAGTATGTGGTGAAGGCACAGATCCTAGCTGGTGGTAGAGGAAAGGGCCACTTCGACAATGGCTTCAAGGGGGGTGTTCATCTCACCAAAGAGTAAGGCTAAGCTGACAGTGAGTTTATCCTTGAACCCATGGAATATAATTCATATCACTTGTTTACCTTGATGAGAGATCATTATTTTATACTTTCATTGTCTTCTCTCTTAAGGCAAGAACCAAAAAGTGTAATTGAGTTTTGAGACAATACAATCTAGACCAGTGGTTCCCAACCCATGGTCGCGAACCAAATGAGGGTCACCAGAGGGTCTTAAAAGAAGAATAAAAGAATCCATAGCTGGATATGTCAGTAAAAGTTAGTTTTTTTATTAACACTTGTTTATTGAAATTTAGTGTGTTGGTAATATAAACTCATAAAAGTATAGAATAACGTAAGCTAATATACAGCTGCAAGTATAACTACCATGAAAATGGTTGGATATATTACTTCATGTTCCTATATTTACGGTCACTAGCCCAGGTTAAGACTGTCTTTAGGGTCTCATCTCAAAAAGTTTGGGAAACACTTATCTAGACTATGGAAAATGTATAATGCAATTGAGAGAGCCCATTTTTATTATTTATCTTGAGTACAAATACCCACCTGGTCAAGATGGGAAACTATTAATTCACAAATGGCCAAAAGTTAACCTAATTCATACAAGAAGAGGGACAAGTTAGTTCGGAAATGGCTCAAAGTGAACATAATTACAGGATATCAGAGGTGGAGTCCTTAGTGGAGAAAATGGTGGGCCACAAGCTCATCACAAAGCAGACGCCAAAAGAAGGAATCCTGGTAAACAAGGTGATGGTGGCCGAGTCGGTGGACATCCTGAGGGAGACCTATTTTTGCATTCTGATGGACAGGTATGTTTTCTCATCTTGGAAGTTTGATTTTTACATGCGACTATGACTGGACGCACTCTTATGTATTATTTATTTATCTGTGTATGAGTATAGATCTGGATGGATAGATGATTCCTATTATGAATATGAACACAAGAAATTGTATTGAGTATAATGCTCTTTATTTTTTGTTTGTAAACAGGGACCACAATGGACCTGTTTTGATTGCGAGCCCGGATGGTGGTATGGATATTGAGGAGGTTGCCGAGAAAACCCCCGAACGTTTGCTTACTCTACCCATCGACATCTTTGAGGGTCTGACACGTGACAAGGCCCTCAAAGTGGCCGAATTCCTCAAATTTGAAGGAGATCTCAAAGAAAAAGTGAGGTTTCTGCCGTGATATTTGTGCATGCTCAGAGATCAGGTTTTTGTGCAGGGTTCTGGGAGCCATATCTCTGTGAAGGAGGCAGGGAATTTGTTTTCTAAACATTCTCTCTCTCTCTCTCTCTCTCTCTCTCTCTCTCTCTCTCTCTCTCTCTCTCTCTCTCTCTCTCCTCTCTCTCTCTTCTCTCTCTCTCTCTCTCTCTCTCCTCTCTCTCTTCTCTCTCTCTCTCTCTCTCTCTTTCATAGATTACACATAGATGGATAGATACGGCGTAGAAATGTTTTCATTGTAGTAGGTAAAAAAATTGGCCTAGCATATAGTATGGCCTCCCTTCAGTTGACTAACTTCTTCCCCTCAGTGTGCCAAGGAAGTGCAAGCGATTTGGCAGATGTTCCTGAGTGTTGACGCAACTCAGATTGAGATCAACCCCCTAATAGAGACTCCCCAGGGACAGGTTGTTGCAGTTGACGCCAAAATTCAGTTTGATGACAATGCCGAGTTCAGGTGAGATGACAATCATTGGCAGAGCAGAATGGAGTTCCCACTCAGTTCCTTGTGAATGTGTTTTTTTAGATAACGCTTTTTATTGTTATTCGTCATTGTTTTTTGTTATTATTGTTCATTTGATATTACAGTGCATTTTCTCTTCAAAGCTAAATGCAGTGCTTTACATTTTTCACAGCAAAACATTATTTTGTCATATGATTATAAGATCCTCAATGTTACAGACAGAAGTCCATCTTTGCTGAGGAAGACACGAGTGAGAGTGACCCTAGAGAGGTTGAGGCTGCCAGACATAACCTGACATACATTGGTATGGATGGAAACATTGGATGTCTAGGTAAGCCCTTAGTGATGAGACTCGAAGGTGTTGGATTCTTAACCCAATGCCCTCGGAGAAGTGTTGTGTTTACTGTATTATTGTTTTTTGAAATGTCTTCTTTCAGTGCTTTGCCACAGAGGAGTTAGTTAGTAGACCTTGTGACCTCACCTGATTACACTTTTCCTTGAATTTGTGTGAAAATTGATTTATTAATACAATCAATATTGATCCTGTTATTTTTTTTCTAAACATCATAATTACTAGTGTTACTGACATTACTAACAGCAGTATTAGATACCAAGAAATATTAATACAATCAATATTGATCCTGTTATTTTTTTTCTAAACATCATAAATACTAGTGTTACTGACATTACTTATTATTATATTAAAGAAAATAAGGAAAAGGGTAAACAGATGGGACAGGTAGTTCTCATTTGTGGCTCATTGGTAGCTTTGTACTTGTGGAGCCTTCTATTTGTAAGAACAATTACTAGAGACACATTGGGCATGGCATGTATACACAGGCGGCATAAGGTTAAACAGAGCATTAGTATCACAGAGCTGCCGAGAAACTTGACAGTATCTGGGGCTTCCCTGCCTCCATGCTCATAGTCCGCAAACCAGTTCTGAGTGTGTGCCTTGAGCCCTGTTCAAAGCTTAAACCAGCAATTCTTTCTTAAAGGTTACAGATAATAAATGTCAAATATAAAAAAAAAAAGTAGATAAAATCCTGAGGAACTTACTTCTAAGGTTGTTCTTGGATTGGTGAATCAGATTGCAAGTGGAACTTAGCCACCATAGCATTTAAACAGTAAACAAGTTCCTAAAATCTTTCTTGAGACTTCGAAGTTAATTCTTGGCCCCAGGGTTTGCAACCATCTAGTTATTGTGTTTTTATCAAGTGAGATTGTCATTCTTTATGTGGGCTAAGTCACTTTTACGTAAGTGATTGTAAGATAAAAATTAAGGAATGGTGAAATCAGTTGTAGTCAGATAGGCTTACTGATAGACTTCTTGCTGACTGATCATTTATGTAGCCATCTTTGTGTAAACAAAATTAACGGAACAAACATAAATTACTAATGCATGGCAGACATGTTACACCCTCTTAACACTAGTCTTGCCCTCTTTGTTTTGCAGTAAATGGTGCAGGCTTGGCAATGGCAACCATGGACATTATCAAACTGTATGGAGGATCCCCGGCTAACTTCCTCGACCTTGGAGGCGGAGTGAAGGAGGACCAGGTGGAACAGGCCCTCCGCATCCTCACTGCAGGTAACACCATTGGCTCTCCGGCATGGGAAAGCACTCGTATATATACTTAGAAAAACATTCATCTTTATCATTATGTTTGCTCACACTCAGGCATCCAGCCACTCACGCAATTGCTCATTCACTCCCTTTCTCACTCGCTCACTTCTCTCTCTCTCTCTCTCTCTCTCTCTCTCTCTCTCTCTCTCTCTCTCTCTCTCTCTCCTCTCTCTCTCTCTCTCTCTCTCTCTCTCTCTCTCTCTCTCTCTCTCTCTCTCTCTCTCTCTTCTCTTTCTTCCTTCTCACTCTCTCCTTTTTCTCACTCTCTTTCTTTTTCTCACTCTCTCTTTCTCTTTCTCTCTTCTCTCTTTCTCTCTTCTCTCTCTCCTCTTTCTCTTGCTCTCTCTCTCTTCACTCTCTTCTCTCTCTCCTCTCTCTTCTCTCTCTCCTCTTTCTTCTCTCTCTCTCTCTCTCTCTCTCTCTCTCTCTCTCTCTCTCTCTCTCTCTCTCTCTCTCTCTCTCTCTCTCTCTCTCTCTCTCTCTCTCTCTCTCTCTCTCTCTCTCCCTCTCCCTCTCCTCTCTCCCTCTTCCCTCTCCTCTCCTCTCCTCTCCCTCTCCCTCTCCCTCTCCCTCTCCCTCTCTCTCTCTCTCTCTCTCTCTCTCTCTCTCTCTCTCTCTCTCTCTCCCTCTCCCCCCCCTCCCCCCTTCCCCCTCCCTTCATTCTTTCAATTAATAGTTTTGATATATATGTCTATAATACACATTCCCATCCGCAAATTTCCAATTATAAATTATGTTTGAATGTAGAATTTATTATGCCCCTTTACTCTTCAGATTCAACAGTGAAGGCCCTCTTCATCAACATTTTTGGGGGCATTGTCAACACAGCCACGATTGCCAATGGGCTCGTCAATGTCCTGCGCAACACCCAGATTGATATACCCCTCATTGTTAGGCTGGAAGGTATGTGATAAGGCCAGTTTTGTTGGGCCTATGCAAGGAAACTCGTTAGCCAAAACCATTCCAGCTGTGAAGATACTTTTTACTTGTATAAATTGTGTTTCTTTTGACATTTTTGAAAGAGTTTCATGCGGAAATCTGGGGGGAAATTTCTTTATTATTTTCCATAGTAGGGAAGTATCATCATTTATTATTCCATAAATTTTGTTTTCCTGTTTGTCACTTTACAGAACCCTCTCTCCCCATCACTTTTTTTGTATTTTGAGACCAATTTCCAGTAATGGAGAGTATACATAGTGTGGTCATATAGGAACCATATTAAAAGCTATAAATAACTTCAATCCAGCTTCTTTTTCTATCTCATCTTGAAGATTGAGTTTCTGACTGTCTTCCATAGCACGTGAAATTTTTCAGTAAAAAAGGGCTATTACCTTTTTTATTGCAGTCCATTCCAATAGTCTTTTTAGCAGTTGTCGTGATTATCCCACAGCTTTGAATTAGAGTCCATGGAGTTAACAGTGATAATACCCATTAACCTTAAATCACATGCTATTTTCATATTTTCTCTCTCTCCCTCTCTCTTCCTCCCTCCCTCTTTCTGTGATATTGTCCTTTGTGATATTTGCACTTGATTCTGTTATTCAGTGTAGAATACCGTCAACCATAATTCTTTTTGTGATATAATGTATTGTATTGGGAGAGATTTAAGGAAATATATAAAAATATATATTTTGAGAGATTTTTTTTTTTTTTTCAGGAACAAATGTAGATGACCGTCTACCATAATTCTTTTTGTGATATAATGTATTGGGAGAGATTTAAGGAAATATATAAAAATATATATTTCTTTTTCAGGAACAAATGTAGATGACCGTCTACCATAATTCTTTTTGTGATATAATGTATTGGGAGAGATTTAATTTTTTTTTTTTTTTCAGGAACAAATGTAGATGAGGCCAAACGCATTCTTGCAGAATCAGGATGCAACATCGAATCTACAAGTGACTTGGATGAGGCAGCGAAGAAGGCTGTTGCATCTATCAGTTAAATTGTGTTTCTTTCTAAATTGCATCTTAAAAATCATCCGTGACATCCATTTCAAAAACCAATGTTGTAGTCCAACTTTAAGAAAGTTGTTAGGAAACAGGCGATGCAATTTTGTGTGTGAAATTTGTTTTTATGCCATCTATATGCATATGAATATGCAGATACTAGGTGTGGAAGTTATTTGAAAGAGGGTGAATCAGTGAGATGGTAAGAGTGAGGAAGAGAGAGAGAGAGAAAAAGAAGAAAATTGCATTTTGATGGTGAGTGAGAGTATGTGCATAAACTATTGTATGTATTTGGCAAATTATCCATTTTATGCACAGAAATGGTGTACATGAATATGTGCATTATACTTCCAAAGTTCAAACATATTAGGAGCCAAAATAATTGTAATCTTGATAGTAGGTAAATTAAGCAGACCTGACGTATTTTTAGAAGAGAATTTAAACACACGAGTTAAAAGCCAAGTGTCAGAGAGCATAATAGTGGTCCTTGCGTTCACTTACACCCTCAATTTAAGGATCTGTTCCTTGATTGATGCTGTTGTGCATCCCCTGCAGTGCCTTCCACACAGCATCAGTTTTGCTAACCAAATGAATTCATATTGCACAAAATAGAAATGCTGATTTATGAAGGCTGTAACTCCAACAAAGTCCTCTTTGGCTCATTCCATTCTTTTTGTGATTTCCTAACAATTGTTAAGTAAAGCACATAATATTTTTGTAGACTTTGGGTCCAAGGTTTGCTCATGGGTGCGGGGATGTAAATGTATATATATATATTTGGACTAAACATCTTTACATCATTTGGTGCTAAGAGTTTACCCTCTTTTGTTAAATAATGTCAGCAATGTTAATGTTAACTGATTTGTACAAGTTTACTATATTAAATTAAATTCTTTTTTTTTTACTATAGAAGAAATTGTTTAAAAATAGACATTGGAGTTTGTAGACAAGTCCTTTTTGGTTAATGGAAAAGCAAATGTATGTGAATTGCACTTGCTTCATTGACTTTCCCATTTCATTCCACTTTTGCATAAATGGATTGTACAGTTCCTGTTAATAAACTGATTTTATTCTTTATGGCGTGTGAGTTATTCTTGCTTCTATCTGCGGGTAACATGGGTTTATAATTATCCAGGTCTCAGTAGTAAGTATTGTCTTGTTCATGGGTTCATCAGTCTGAGACACCAAGAAGTTCCTTGATCAGTTAGCCTTGCCATGTGGAGAATTCTGTTCTTTTCTTTTTTCTCTTTGTTTTTTCTTCTTTTTCTTTCTTTCTTTTTCTTTCTTGTTCTTTTTCTTCTCTTCTCTTTTCTCTTGCTTTCTTTATTTTTCTTTCTCTTTCTTTCTATCTACCTTTTTTTCTTCCTTTCTTCCTCCTTCCTCCCCTCCTCCCTTTCTTTCCTCCCTCTCTCCCTCCCTCCCTCCCTCCGCTTCCTTCCTTCCTTCCTTCCTTGCTGTACTTCTAATTGCTTCATATCTCATATCTTAATGCTGTCTCTTGTCTTAATGGTGTACAAGACAGCAGATAATGGAGGCAGCATATTAGGAACATCGACCTTCATGAACAATTGAACATTCAGAAAGCTGCTGAAGAAGAGAAGGCAGTTCTCTTTACTACTATTATTGCTAAATTCACGAACATTGATTCTATTGATATTATGATAGCTTTTGCTTAATATGTGTATAATCAGTACTATATTGATGAAATTAATTATGCATTTTTTTCTTTGGAAATGGCAAGTGGAGGAACTCGATCTATAGATTAGTAAATGTAGAGAATTATGTGTGGAACTGCATTATAATAATTATTACAATGCAGTATATGTGTGGGAAAGGCATTTGTGATGGATGGTACTGACATCTTGGAGGAATCTTCTAGTCTGAAGAAAGTATATTATATTTATCTTTAAGAAGGGAAATATAAATCAAAGCTATTTATAAAAAATGAAATATATCCAATATGAAACAGTATAAAAAGTTCATTTAAATATTAAGAGAAGTTGGGAAGGAAAACGATTTTATTGATCTTTAAAAATTACAAAGGCCTATTACTGTCTATTTTTCAACCTGTGGAACATTTTGAACGTGATTCTTATTTCGGTTGTAAAATCTCAAAGTAAACAGACATTAAAAAGATTAAAATAGCACGTGAGATAGATGCATCACGTAATATTTGTGCATCTGGCGTAGACGACAACCAGCATGGTTTGGGATGGTCCTCAAAGGTGATATTCGCTTGCCCCGCCCCAGGCTCTTTACACTGAAGGAACGAGGGTTGTTCAGCGACGAGTTGTTTCGTCTTTTTACAATGGAGGAAGAACGATCGTTTGTGGTCGTTTTTTTCTGTTTAAGATTATTTATTGTTTGGATTACAACCAAATGTAAACAGTAGAAAACTATCTACTTGCAGAGCTCCAGACACTTTATCTTATTAGTATAACAAATGGTTAGTACAGATATAAGCACGTATAAACATTCGTGCACAAAAAATCTGACTAGTGACACTGAGGTCTAGAAAACTACTTCTCTGGACCTTGAGTGACATAACACAATATCGCACAAGTGGTTGACACATCGCCCATAGTAGCGCCCAACATACCAACACTATGGTGA